GTTGTTCCTGGTTGATATATTATACATCTTGGAGAGAATTCACCCTTTCTTTCTCTTTAAATGCGCGCGTGAGTTCTAGTTTATAATCGTTAATTGTTTGTTATCTATTTTAGATGAAGAGCGTATACAAACACTGAATTGAGCCATCAATTATATACATATAGTTGCGATCCACTTGGTGCTCCAAACGCTCTTAGAAAATTTCATTTTTGTTGTTTATCAAATGTTAAACAAGGATAAAATGATACTTTGAAGCGTTTGAAGGATCTAGTGCACCCTATCCCTTATAGAAATTTAATACTGTAAGTGATTTTTTGGCTAGTGATTAATCATTTAAAAGCACTATTAAAAGCACTATTAACAGTGCTTTATTAACAGTGATTAATCATTTAAAAGCACTATTAAAAGCATTATTAACAGTGCTTTTCATAGTGCTTTTAAATGATTAATCACTAGCCAAAAAATCACTTACAGTATTAAATTTCTATAAGGGATGTATCTCTATGGTTGTAATCGATTTGACGCTACAAATGCTTTTAAGCGTTCCTCTTCTCCTTCTTTCTACACTAAATGCTTCGAAGCATTTGTATTGTTAAGTGGACCGCAGCCTGTATTTAGCGCTCTAAATGTAATCTAATAGAAAATTCGGGCGCTTGCACTAGTGCACACTGAGTGCGCACTAAGGCTTGTTCTTAATCAATTGTTATATTTACAGATCATCTTAAATACTTCTTAGTCTATAAAATGATTTGTACAACATCCGTATAAACATTACAGATTGTTTTATTGGCTAAAAAGTTTTTAAATGTGTATTTAAGCGACTTTAAATATAAGAATAGATTATAAAAACAAGCCTTGGTGCGCACTCAGTGTGCACTAAGTGCAAGCGCCCGAATTCTCTCAATAAATATCTGCTTTATTAAGCATTACAGAAAAAAAGGGTTCAGGACTTTTTAATTCAATGTTTTTTAAGGAATTGCGCTTTGCGCAAATTAGTGGACGCTCTTTAAAAAATATCCTGAAAGATATTTTGTTTTTATATGATTTTCAAAAATGAAACTAATATCCGGCTCCCCGTTTATTACAAAGATTTTAATGTGGCCTTCTTGACAAAAAAGAATGGAAACCCCTGCTCTAAACGCTCGTTTTTATTTCTATCGAACTGGGTTCATTTAATTTACCAACGACTTTGCCAATGCTAGTGGATCTAAAGCGTTTGAAAGCGTAAATGATATTATTGACGGTGTGTAGATGACGTAGATAAAGAGATTTAGAACTGTGCGAGAGCACTCGATTTCAAAAACGATATGTAAAATGGATTTTAGTAATTATTAGGTTCAAATCAATTGACTTCCAAATTGTAAATCTTCAAAGAGATCTTTAAAATAATATCTACATCGAAATAACTGACTCTGGAGTTAATGCAGTCGTTACCGATGCGTAAAATTTTGAAAAATCAATATTATATTTCGAAATGAGCGCATACATTCGAATCTGCATATTGAGAGAAAAAGTCTTAATATGTCATACTCAATTTTTAAGAAGTTTTATTTGATTCGATACGCAATTTATAATTTATGATTATTTGCAGATCGGAAAATAAGTTTTTAAAGTAGTTTTCGTCTTTCAAAGTTTTCGATGTTTTTGATCGTATTTTTATTCCTTTACATAGCACTCATTTGTTACAACAAATGACATAGCTCAAAAAGCAAAGTTTTCCAAAAAATAAATTTGAATACTTTGAATCATTACATTTTTGTAATATTTTCTAAAAATATGAGTTTGGTGTAATAACTGATCGTAGAGGAATAAAAGTATCTAACTATATATTAGCTCTTTATTCAATGTGAATCTGAATTCTCACCATTCTTTATTACGTAAACAACTGAAAAATGACAATTGTTTGCTGTATAGGAAATAAGCGATATGTATATCGGGTACATTTTTACATGCGCGACTCGAACGACTGTATCAAACGGAAATTCAGGACGATGAGCCCGTGGGTTCCGGCTGCTCGCGATGCTCGGGTCGCCGTGAGATCCGGGCGGAGAATCGGTGGAAGGATCAGGAGTGAGGGGAATCTCGGTCACTGGGCCTCACCTCTCTCGACGACGAGCATTCGGTGCCACGCTCGTGCTCCGGCTCGAACGGAGCCCGAGCCGGTTCGTGCTCGAACCACCTAGGAAGTGCGCGCTCGTTGCGGACGATTCCCCACTCTCCTCTCAATTGTGGAATTGTGTTCCTCTTTCCCGCTTGTGGCACTCGTTCTCTAAGCATTCCTATCTGGCGTTTACCACCGCCTGTATGAATTCAACGTCCAGACTAACGCGCGCCGGCCGTTCCGACATTGTTGAAGAATTCTTCCTCTTCGCCGCTAGCTAGTGTGACGTTCTCTCCTCATGTATACCTCCGACTGGATTCTCGCGCATGCAACAAAACGAAACGCGAATACAATGCCTCACGTGCCTCACTTTTCCGCCCACCGATGTTCATTTTTAACAAAGGCTCTTTCGATCAACCTATATTCCACTTTAAAATCCTTGGAAATGTCGCGGCGACGACGGATTCCGTGTCACGAACGATTTAAAATTCGTTCTTAATTTATATGATCTGTCCATTCCATAAATGAACTATCCGTGTTCTATGAAATTATTTATCCATTTATTCGTACGTATAGATTAGCGCTGGAACAAAGTTATTGAAATGCGTTGTTATATATTAGACGCTTGAGTTTTATAGATCCTTTAAAAATAAATGTTTTTTTTATGTTTGATCCATATAACGCAGTTTCTATCTTTCGTTTTCTTTTGTACGCGAATAGAAATCTTGTATGTAAATCAGAAATCAAGTTTTGTTTACGAACTTACATTTTGCCTTAATTAAAAAACATGAATGAGCATTTATTATATAGCCGCGCGATTCAATCGCGCTCAATTATTCATAGGAATTGCTATTATGGAGAACGTCGTGTAAAAATCACGATTAGTTTATCCGTGACATTTCAACGCGTCCGAAAGCACACAGACAGAGAAAAAAGCGCGAAAGCGCGCGTTTGCGTTCCACCTTCCACCGCGCGAGTTTCCACGCCGACGCGGCGCGATTCAGCCGAAAGTATCGCGAGTACCGTAAAGGTGACTAGCGGGTCGCGCGCGAGCATCGAATTCCTCGCCTACCAAAGTCCGAGATCGCGTTAATTTTCAATACGCACCCGAATTACACCTACGATTCGTTCGGCGAAGGAAAAGATAGCTGAAAGCTGGCGCGACGCGCGTAATGATCTGACAATCTTGTGACGATGAGAGGGATATTTGCATCTTTTACCGTTAAATATTAAAGGGTGAAATTTAAACCAATATCTTGAGTTAAATAACATTTTGTTATTTTTAACTACCCCCGTAAGTTTTGTCAAAACTTATTATTTTTTAACACAATATCATTCTAACTCGATTGGTTCAGTTAAATTAACATGTTGAATAAGAGCGGTGACGACCTATAAGAATAATTAAAAATGACACAAATTTGAGTTTAATTTGACTACGAATTTAATAGTATTTACGTAAAATACATAACGTCGATGAGCTATTGATATCTAGCTAACACATTATAATTATCACATATATAACATTGACATTATTAAATTAATATGAATTCAAGAAATATTTTTTCCTAAATCACAACGTCAAAACACACACACAATAAGGAATATTAAAAATTGTTATTAAATTAAAAACGTATCTTCTCCACCTGAACATGAATTTATTATTTAAGGTGCGCAAGTTAAGTCTAAAACAGTTAAGTCTTTAAAATTACATCGAAGCGAAATTTACTTCTCAAATGTTCATAAAATTTTCACGTCTTTTTATGGAGTCGACAACCTCTGACCGAGTTCTATATTACAACAATATTTCTACTAAATTCGGATATTAGAATTCGCAAAATCGCATAGTTAGAATTTTCGGGAATATCTCCCTCTTTCGCGTACTTTATTCCTTTTTCGTTTCTTCTGCGATCGCGGTGACGAATTTCTCGAGGAAATTGAACCGAATGTTGGAGCAGCATCTTTTTCGACATATGGGAGTGAAATCTCACCGGGGCACACAGTGCTCCTGGATAATCCGTTCGCATCGATTAATCCCTCTCGTTTATTATTGTATTATTGATGTGACCGCGTCGCGGTCGTGACACCGCACATTTTGGGGCTTGTACAATAGCAATCTAACTGACTAACAAGCGTCTCGTTATACGAAATTCGCAACCGTTAAATACCGTCATTGAAGCGTGAATTTATTCTCGATAACAGTCTCGAATGAAATTTTAATGTGAAATCAGGCAAAATGAGATTTTAATGTAAAGCAAAACAAACAAAACAGACTCGGCGAACATCCCTTAACGATTGTACTTATATATGAGAATTAAAGAAATAATAAACTACAGTCAGGCTCGTATTTGCAAAGCAAAGTGAAAGAATCATGAGACGAGCAAAATAGATCGTTATCACGTAAAATATGATTTATTATCATCTAAACAAATTTAATGTTCAGGCAATACAATATAATATAAAAGGAATTAAGTTATAAATAATAAAAGTAAAAATTACTATGAATAACGTTCAAGCTGAGCTAAGCCGTTGAAAGAAACATACAAAATAAAAATGAAAAATTATAATACGAAGAACTAAAACTAAATCGAACTACAGAAAGTCTCTCAAGGAACTAAGAAGAGAGAGATCCGCGATTGTCGTCGAAGCGGAAGTTAATCGCGAAGTCTATAGGATCCGCCCTCGAGGATCGCGCGAATAATCACTCTTCTCTCCCATCCGCCGAAATCTTCTTTTCGGAGCCGTGATCGATTTCGATCCCGACGTCGCGCGACGCGCCGTTGGCGAACGTGTCGTACGCCGTCAGTAGGGCCGTAGAATTCTAGAAGGGGGTCATCATACGAGGCCGCCGAGCGGCGGGCCTGCCGGGAACAACCAGTATACGGGTGTCGTTCTGCGCGGACTGAACGGAAGGAGCGAGAGGCGCGCGTCGGAGGACCCACACGAGAGAGCGGCGTCGCCGTGCCGTCGTTGTAAATAAAACGAAACGCAGTCGTGACGCGGTCGTCGTTACACGTGGTGCTTAGGGGTGCTACGCAAAAGGGTTTACACACCGAGAGGATTTCGCGCAGGATTTCCGGTTCGCCGGCGTCGTCCTCGGGAACGGACACGACTTACGATCGCGAGGTGAGTTCCGGCTTGCGGTGACACTTCGCGAAGAGCAAACGAGGACGAACCGCGAACGATTCGGAGGAGCTTCTCGATTTTCAAATATGTTGTCGCGCATATAAATTTTATTGCAACATTTTTGTCGCGCGTGCACGCGAGTCTTTTAATATTTAATAATGTTTTAACGACGTTTTGTTTTTATTTTGTGACACTCCGTGTTTATCGCGTTCACTTCAAGTTGATGCTGTCTAATTCTTTCATACATTTGTGTTGTCGCGTACGCTGTTATTTATTTTTCATGCGAATTGATAAACAAATAAACAATAATCACGTTTTCTGCTATATATAAAATTTACCGAACGGCAGGAATAAGCTATTGAAATAATAGTTTTGTAGAATTAATCGAAATGCTAGGGGAGCAATTTGTGAGAACTGACAATCTAAATTGATTAATTGTTTACCAACGGTTTTATCAAACTGCAGTTCTATTTTTGAACAAAAATTCATATTGTTGCGCCGAGCTAATCGATGGTTGGATACGTTTTGTTGACGAACGAGCCGATTTTTCACAAAAAAAAAATTATTAAGCACCGGTAACTTTCTAGCAGAGATTTATTCTCAACACGCGAAAAATCCTTCTTTCTCATCATGAGACGCTCGCTGATTTATTTATGAGCGCGGAGAAATTCTTTTCTCTCACAGAGAATACTTTCCAGGCCGCGATTAGAATGAGGCTTAAATGGATCCATATTCCCCGAAGAAGATAGTACCGTGGAAATGCCAAAGGAACTTTATCCTTTTATTTAAATGTCTCACGTTAAATCGCTCCTCCAGAACGAAGCGTTCGATGTTCAGCTTAGCCGCGCTTTCGTAAAAGTTTGCGCTGCGAGTGTTCATATTTCACGGAACACGCGGGAATACAAAATTACAAGAGTTATCTGTTGTTCGAATGAACTTCTACGTTGTTTAATATTTACCGAGATAGCGGGATTGAACGTGTATTAAAACGATTTCTGTCTTTGTACTCCCAACTCTTCCAACGCTTAAATAGAAAGTGACGCCAGTGACGGTACCGAAACTTTTTACAGCCATTATCCGTTACCAGTACATCGTAATCGAACATTATTTCCTGCATTTTTGCGGTAAAACTCTCCACCTGAAGTATATATACACATATACGTATTTAACTTTTTAGGTAGCAACGTGCATTGCTGTCTAAAAAAGTTGAGTTATTTATAATCTCTCGAAGTAAATTCCTTCATCACAGTTTCCTCATTTTTCCACACAATATTACGTGGATTATATTCGCTTATTTTCTTTATTATATTTTTAATTCAATTGTGCTTCATCTAACTCGTGGAAGCTTAAGAGTATATAAAAGGACATTCCTATACACTCTTGGACTCTGAAAAAAAGGATTTACTTTTATTTTTAGGTTTTACTTTTATGTACTATAATTACTATAATTAGATGCAATAAGGAATCAAGCGCCATTTTCGCGACTTTTAGTTCTGTATTGATTTTTGTTCTGTATAGCGGACAGGAGATTTGCTGTAAACGCATGTAGCATATGGAATTGTATCTGAGGAAAATTATATATAATTCGGTTATTGTATTTGAGATAACGTTGGCGCAGAATTTTGCTTCCAATATCTCGCGATATTTGCTCTAACGAAAAAGTGAGGTTTTGGAGTTTGTGGGTTCCGCATTGCAGAACTGCATCCAATTTATCCTATATACTTTGTTGGATGTCATAAATGCTTTTGGTAAATTCTTGCTCAAGTCGGTACTGTGCCCGAGTTAATTAATTCCCCGCGTAACCCGTTCGCGCGTATATATACTTTCTAAAGCAGCGGTGATGGAATGCGATATCCGTGTAAACGCACGTTTTCGCGTACCGGTGCCCTGCCCCCCCGCGCGTGCATCTCGCGCGCGTGTGCGTTTGCATTGCACAGAAATGCACCGCTAAGAATTTTCAAATAGCATCGTCGCATAGCGGAATCTTCGCCTCGAATCGCGATGGAGTCGCCGTTTGTTACCGCGTTGTATAACATTTTCTATTTTCGCGATATCCTCGCACACGTCGCGCGACGCGGACGTGAAAGCAGTTTCTTTTTTTCTTTTTTTTTTCCTTCACGCGTGCCCGTTCGACCGTCGTTCCCGAGGAACTTTCGACCGAGTAAAACACAGGTACACTGAAACTTATGAGCATTTAATATGTTTTGTAACTACATTAAATTTCATCGCACCATACCCGAACGTGTCGTAACACGTTTCGCGACCACATTGGGCAAAGTGAAAGGTTTTATTTCAACAATTCAATTCTACACATTGCAGAAAAAAATATATTCTTGATTTAAAAATATATTTAGTTTTAACGTGTGGAAAGATCTTGAAATAAAATTATATTGCGTTAAACAAAAAAAAACTTGCTTATCAACCAAGAAAAGAAATTGAAATAAAAAGATTATAGATTGTTTTACATGTATACGAGTATATAAGTTTTGATTTGACACTTATTTTCTTTCTGTATAGCGGTTTGCGATTTTATTCCAGTTCCATTCCAGTTCCATTAATTTTATCGGAAATCCCACACAATCTTTGTGAATTCGCATTTTTCGTTTCTTAACAATCTATTCGTCTGTAGAACTGCTCAAAGAAAATAACAAGATATGACATTTCGATCGACGAGATGAAGTATCGAAATTTCGACGAAGGAGAATTTTTCAATGCCTCTCTGTGCTCCTCTGTGGCAATCTGCAGTACTTTGTAGTCGCCTGGCTGATAACACCCGTCGCGTTACTTTCAAAAGCACACAAAGAATTTCCAATAGTGTAGCGCGAGGAAAATAGCGGCGCGCTCGTAACTTCCGACATGAGAGGACAGTCTATACCCTTTATACCTCTCTCCCTTTTTTTGTCTTTTATTCACAAGCCGGCAACGAATATAGAAAATTTTAAATATGATTTGTTGCCTACAGCCAACTTTGACAGTGACTAAATAGGAATCGAAATTGAAAGTGCCTTTTTCTATTTCACTCCACACAGCTTCGCTTTATTTCGAAGCAAGACTTCATGTAATATTAAAGAGAAGAGATATATATGTGTACGTAATATTTTACGATAAATCGATACGAGCGAAATGTTATTTTAATTTCTTCCATCTAAACGTCATATCGGATAGTTCAATATGTTTGTATGTTTTCGTCTCGAAATTGATATTTTTCTGCAAAAAGAGCCAAACAAATTTCTTAGTAGGTACTTCGATGGCTAAAATTTAATAACTTTTTAAATTTTCTGACGTGTTATTTTTGCAAACTTTAAAAGATTTTGTTGACTTCAGACACACTGTATCTAGTATGAAAAGTCCAATGCAAAAATCTGGTCCTGTGCATGCGTACAGAATTTGAAACAGCAGGGAGATCGTCGATTTTTCAAACTGCTGGCAGTGATGCGATGTTACGGAACATCGTGATGTTTTTGGGGGGAGGAAAAAAAGGACTCTGGGCGAATGAGAATTTCCGTAGCATTTTGTCCCGCGGGAGAAAGAATCCGTAGGTGGAAATCCATGGATCGTCGGTTTCAGAGCAACGCCGACCGAGGCCAGTAGCCGGTAGTGATTTTTATCTCGTGGTGGAAAACGTTTTCTTTTTCTCGCATCAACTCGCGCGCTCGTCCTGATTTCGTATGCACTTTGGTTTTCCGTCATGGGGATTACGTGACGATAAAACAAGTTAGTTCACACGCTTTGCGAAAAAAGTATGTCGCATTCGAATGTTACATCATAGAACTTGGGAATCGCAATTATTACTTCGATCAAAATATATGAGATTGAAATAAAGATCAGTTTTGTTTTCAGGTACTAAGCAATTTTATATATTTGTGTATTATTTATTCACATGTTCTATTAATTCAAACGTAACACGCATTCTACAGCTGATGAAAAAACTAATCACCGCGTGACAATATTATAATTTCTTTTTCTTTTTCTTCCTTTTGCATTTCTTTAAAGGACGCGATACCCCCTTCACGATTTCCTATTTTCTTATTATTCTTGCAATAATGTTAACTTGGAATTTATTTTTGCTTTCGGTTCTAGTTTGATTACAATGGAATAATATACTTCCATTCAAAATTCCTTATATCATATTCAGTAGCAGGAGTAGCAGAACCGTGAATCGAACCGGAGTCTCTGATAACGGTTGACTGCTCCATTATTATTGATAGCCCATAAGCTATCCGGCATTCCAAATATCTCGAAATATGCAAGATATACCAGATATACATTCGAAATATAACTTTAACCGTTTTAAATAATCAAAATCAAAATTAAATGTACGTATATATTGCATTATTTATATACATATATTGCAGGTATATATTGCATTATTTTTCTGCTTTTTAAAAAATCTCTCTTCTGTACTTTTTTAAAGATTTTTTTGTCCATATCCTTTTCATTAATTCTTTTTTATTTCGGATCCACGCCTGTATAGTACTTCAAATCCGGTTCTGGCAGTTGAACATCCGTTAGAATTTTCATTACAGTTTAGCTTTGTGAAGAGATGACACACTTCCGTGCGGTTCCATCCGAATAAAAATTTGCAACGGCGCGCGGCGTGCAAAAAACAACCCGTCCATCGAACCGTTCTATCGCGCGTTTACTCTTCCGGCCGTTTGCATTCAGGAAACGCGATCTGGAACGCACATCATCCAAAGGTATCCGTATATCAGTAACCTGCTGTGGGAAATTGAATGTTATATCAGCGTGCTAATCAGATCGGAACGACCGGCGGGTTGCGCGGCCTACAACGTTTCTTGCTCACGTTGATTTATATAGATGCACCTGCCTTTACAAGATAGCCTAAAATTAGTGGTTATTAATTTCAATCACAATTTTTTTCGGCCCAATTTGAATACGATTTGTTCTCATCAAGAATATCGAGGAAAATCATTTAATGCGTTTTTCAGCTTTTAATCGTATATCTGTACATATTTTATAACTAAGCTTTGAATTAAAAT